GTTGGATTAATTTTACAGGAGAAAAAAAGCCCTCGAGAAAATAGAAACAGAAAAATTCGGGCAGGACTGGCCTGCATGTGGCGGTATAGAAGGGATTATAGTCGGACATCGTCAGGATCGAAATCAATGTCAGCTGTGTATGGCATTGTATAACGGATTTCATGAAGGGGTAAGTAGGCGGGTCGGTCAGGACTGGCCTGTATGTGGCCTTGAATAAGGCTAATAGTGGCGAAATTGAAAACCAGTCTCGAGGCGATAGGAACCCAGATGCGGTCGGTTACATTCATCCGAGTCCATCCGAGGATGGTGCAAGGGAGATGCGACCAGACTACTAGTATATGGCGAATACAGAAAGCTTCGCCAAGAGCGTCGATGGAGCGCATTCTGTGAGGGCACGATTCATGAACTGAAAAACTGGAAAAATTAACATTTCTGGTGAGGGATCTTAGGAAGCGAGACTACTCATAAAAGAAGGAAATGTGAATAGATACGGAGATTTAATGGCGGCATACTAAATTCCCGGTGGCCCTTTCTCAGTGTCATAGAAAGAGCTGTCTGGGAAGGATGAGGAAAATAAAAGTTTAATCGAGTCAGTATTCAGATAAAGGCGTAGCCCTCTCTTAAATGTGTGAAGATTTTCTGAAGATCTAATATTTATTGGAAGGTTATTCCAGAGAAAAGTATATCTGGAAGCGAAAAAAGGGAGCGCTTAGAGGTGGAGGACGCTGGAGGAGGTAAAATCAAGGACGAATTGCGAAGATTGTATAAGCGACTTTTAGGTTCATTTAAAAGCTTTGTATAGATGGTGACATCACAGCATCTGCAGGAAGGGCGTTCCGTGGTTTGACCACTCAAACAGAGAAGGAGAATTTCCGCACATCTAGCCTTGCCTATTGAGTGGGCAGTTTAAACGGGTGACCTCGGAGGTTGTTCGTTGTTGCGAATTCAAAAATGTCCTCGGAGGCCAGACTGCAGTCCAACCCCTTTATAATGCGGAATGCTTGTATGCGAACCCCGCGAAGTTGCCTGTAACACAAAGGGAAGAGGTTCACAGTTACTAGGCGGGTTGCATAAGAAAAGGAGCCTTGACTTCTAACAATTTTTGTGGTTCTCCGCTGAAAGCTTTCGAGGCAGTTTCCATCCTCAACCGCCCACGGTCTCCAGGCTTGTGGGTTGTACTGCAAGTGCGGCCGGACGAATGATCCAAAGGTCTTAGGGAAGGCGTCTTCGTCAAAATCCATAAACGCACACTTGATGTTGTAAAGTGCGGACACGGCAGTTTTTGCACTCACGAAAAATGAGCGCATGGTTTTACGGAGGTCGTCGTCAACACACCGAGTTCTTTATGAACTTCGACGTCTCGCACGGCTGAACCGCCCAGAAAGTAGTCTCTAGTGATGTTGGATCTGGCTGTGTTGCCTAGGCAAAATATGCTAAACTTAACAACTTTGAATCGCAGGAGCCAACGGTTGGACCATTCCTCAAACCGATTTAGGTTCATCTGCGGACTGTCATTGCCGGCAGGAACCCGTATTACACTCCATATCTTCATGTCGTCAGCAAACATTACTGCTTCGCTGTAGAAGGCCTTTGCGTAATCGTCCACGAATAGTAGGAATAAAATGGTACCCAGTTCTAACTCCCGGGGAACACCACTGTCGACCATAGCAGGATCTGATTTCCCTTGACCGATTCACACAATTTGCTGTCGACCCACACGGAAGTGTTCGGTCCATTTGAGGAAGATGCCTCTGGTCCCTATGTTTTTCAGCTTGTGTAACAGTTTCTGGTGTGGAACAGTGTCAAACGCGTTCTGGAAGTCAATGAAAGCTATGTGGACTACTTGCCCGTCGTCAGCAGTTCGGGTCCAGCTCTGGAGTGATTGCAGTAAGTTTGTCATGCAGGATCTTCCTTTCCGGGACCCATGTTAGCAGTTCGATAACAGGTCGTGAACTTCCAGGAAGTGCGTCAGTCCACTCTATATGATCTTTCCCATAACTTCGCAGATAATACATGTCAAGCTTATGGGCCGGCAGTTTGTCGTCGCTGCCCTGCTACATCCTTTGTATGGCGGAGTAATGTGCAACAGCTTTCAACCGGAAGGAAGCGTTCCAGCGTCAAATGACGTTTGAAAGAGCATCGATAAAGACACAGACATCTCACTGGCAAGTTACTTGAGAAGTTTGGGTGGAATCTTGTCTGGTCCTGGCGACTTCGATTCGTTCATTGCCTCTAATTCTCTTCGGACAATGCCTTCTGAGAAGCGTATTCCACTGATGTTTGAGATCGGCATTTCTTCTGTGGAGGGCGGAAGGAAGCATGCCTCGTTTGTGTAGACTGATTGGAAGAACTGAAAAATACGCAGCTTTATCCATACTATCAGCAGCCTTAACGCCATCAGTAGTCCTTCTTAAGGAGATTTGATGTCTGTCCCGTATACTTTGTCGGAGGTAGTTGTAGAGTAATTTTGGGTTCTGAGTTGCTTTTTGTAGCAAATTCTTCTCGAATTCCCGCCGTGTTTTTATGATCATGTTTCTCAGTTTGTTCCTCTGTGTCTTGTAGGTGTTGAAATATTCAACTTGCCCAGTGACGCATTATTTTCTCCACAATTTGTGCTTCCTGTTGATTTCTTTCTTAAGGTTCCTATTTAGCCACCCAGGGCGTTTATTCAGTCTTACACTAGTTAGTGGGCAGTGGTTATTGATAAGCTGCAGAAGGACATTCTTGACCAGCTCGCAGTCATCGTTCGCATTTCCCGTAGACAATGAGCCCCAGTCGAGACCGGATAAGTCTGCGCTCATCTGATTGAAATTGCCTCGCCAAACATTCCGTCTTTTTTGGCCTGGAGGATGTGACATGGAGAATAACGAATAATCCCACAAAAGCACTACGTGATCACTTCGGCCAAGGGGCGGCATGGTGGTGATCTCGTCTATGCTGTCTGGTGTTTTCGTAAAAACCAGATCAGGGCATTTCGCCCTTCGTCCCTCACCTCTTCTCGTTGGGAACACTACATGTTGTGCGAGGGAGGCCTTTCATGTTTTGTTCGGCCGCCGGTAATCGAATGCCGATTTTGGACCTGAAGCTTGGAGGGTATTCAATTTTGTTCCTGGTGCGTTAAAGTCACCCATGATCATGATGTTAGGTCGACTGGAAAATTTCTCCATCTGCTCCAATAGTTGAGTGTTGACGATTTGGTCCGTCCTAGGTGGTCGATAGACAGTGAGGACATCGAGACACGGGGAACCGGTAGCCTTGATGTTCAACCAAGTAGTTCAGTTTTGAACGCAAACTTGGTGGTGTTTTTCGACACTGTCAGGCCTTCATTCACTTACACAACTCCACTACCATCCTAACGATATTCCCTGTCCCTTCGATACAATTTGTATCTAGGCAAGGATATTCCGTTACCGCTAATATTCCTGGACAGCCAGCTCTCGGTTACTGCTAAAACATCCGGAAACGGTTCGGCAAGACAAAGTTTTAGCTGGTATAGTTTGGATACGTGGCTTTGACATTTGTATACAAGCACCTGAATTTTGCGTCATCCGAATTTCCGACTGCATTTTTCACTGTTGTGGGCATTACAGCGTTATCTCCGATGCCATATTCCGTTACCTGATGGGTTCCTTTAATGTCCGTTGCTTCAGTTACTTTGCTCTGCGTTGCTTTGTTACTAGTTGATTCCATCCGCGTAATTCCTTTAACAGGATTGGCTTTTGATTGTCACATATATTGTCTAGCTCCACCTGCGCGCAGTTACCTTGATATGCTTTTACCTGAGCCCCTCCATTTTATTATACAGTACCTGTGCTAACTCATGAAATGTCATGAATTAACACAGGTTAACGACTTAAACGCAGAATCGGTAAACACAACGGCTCCCAAAGTCTGATAGCAGTAAATAAAAGATGTGTTAAAGAAATAAAGCACAGTTTGGTTTAGAAAGGATTATTTACTGAGATAAAAATAAATAATTTTCGACAAAAGTCACATTTTCGAGAAACGCCTATATTACAACCAAGTTAATAAAGGCTACGTATGAGGGCGTATAAAGGAGGAGGGCGCATAAAAGGTCAAAAATAATTAAGGACAGAAACAGATACAAAAAATTAGTACTTTGTTGATTGTCCATTTAAATTAATAACGGCAGAAAGTCTGTCAGACATAGACATGACGAGGTTATCTATGGTGGATTGTGAAATGTAATTATTGAGTATGAAATCCAATTTTTCCTGCAATGAAAGAGTCTTCTTAGCTTTGTGCCAATTTCTTTTGACTATTCCAAAAAGATTTTCAATATGATTCAAATCGGGACTGTTGGCCGGGATGAAAATGGATTGGAGGCCAAAGGCGGAGAGGCTGGTTGTTGTCTAAAATGTTAGGTTATATTTGCAAGCGGCATCAAATAATTTATTTGCATTTCCCTGATTTTCTTGATATTGAAATTTAATTTTTTCTTTTTGTTCGAAAGTTTATTGAAAAATTTCGTCCTTTTATTAATCTTCTTAAACAGATTAATAAGGTAACACAAACAATTTCGATCCGAAAGCTTTAATAGCGTAGGAAACTGCTTGAATATCAGGAATCCTCCGATTTCGCCGAAATGAGACCCGTTTTCTATTTAACATACAGATCCGTATCAAACTTTCCTTCAGCAAACGGCCTTTTCGTCCTTATTTCAACTAAATACACACAAATAACAACACCAAAAATACGCTACATTTTCCACTCTTATTTTGACCTCGGCATTTCACGAGTTAGCACAGGTACTGTATGTCTGGCCATTATGGTCAGCACAAGAAGTATCGATCTGCTTTGGTTGTCGCCTAGCATCTAGAACATCCTGTTGAAATACCGGAACACGAGGGAATAAACGAATTTGATGCAGAGAATACTAGCCTTCAGTGAACTGTATCTCAACTTGCTTTGAACTTTTAGTTGTCTAATCGTACTGGTGACTTTTCAAGTGTGGTTTGCGGGAACGTTCGATGCGAAGGATGGATTTTGTCAATATTCTTCTCCTAGGCGTTGTCCTATTTCCAAACTATTCAAGGCACCATCTTATTTTTTGATGATATTTTTAAGGACGCAACAGTTGGGATCAACAAGTTCCCAGCTAGTTCTCCCTAAGTCGATCAAGGATTACACTTATTTCAATGTTTCTGGGTGCTCCGTCTTCTTCGCCCAAAAGGTTGAGCTTATAGTAGACAAAAATGGAACCCTTTCAAGCTTTACTCTTCCTCCAAATCAGAAATATTTATCCAACAGTTCGTGCTCAGTAAGTGGTACGAGCAAACTTTCGTTTGAGTGGAATTCTCTGCCCAGTCCGAGCCACTTTAAGTCCGTTAGCTTGTCGTAAGTTCCCATTCACTAGCTCATCGCCTGTAAGGTTGGTGTTCCAATTGCTTGGAAACAGTATGTGGAATCTGAAATCTGGGTTTATATTCTTGGACGGTGCGATGCACAATCTGTCTCTTACAATACCATACACTCCTAAATCATACGGATTCAAGTGCACAAAAATGGACCCCGCCTCCGCTGTTGGGTCTACACCTCCGGCGCAAATCGTATTTACTGGCTTGCAGGTAAGGTTGGTGCTATGGGGTTATCTTAAATACTTCAAGGTATGTTTTCATGACTGCTGGTTTTCTCCTCTGTATCCGACTTTTGAAACCCAACTTCTCACAGTACCGATTACCAACTGTTGTTCGCCTTCCTCCGTCTTCGTGGTTGTAGATCCACCCGGGAGCCGTCTATTTTTTCAAATTTATTTAACAAATGACACTCATGCTTACTTAACTAAATATGCTAGGTGCCCCCCCCCCCCTTTATCTTTTTTGCGAGATCAGTCTTTGGAGACAGTGTCACCGTTGTGCATGACTATGTCTACCGTGTGCCCCACGGCCCGATGGGCGCGGATGGTGACTTGCTCACGAATTGTTTTCTCGTGATAACTGGTTTGCGCAGCATCTGCTGCCCCCTCTTCTCCCTCGTCAGCCGGGTCTGGTGGCAAAACAAAGTCAGGGCCACCGAAGGCGGGCTCGGGCGCATCTACTGACAAAACTAAAAAGCCGTTACAAGCGAAGATACGAGTCCGAGGAACTAGTTGAAAGTAGGAGCGATCGCTGGAATAAGGGCTTTATTAACCTATTATTTCGTATTCTCGCTCGAACTCATCATTAGAGACGGTGACAGAAACGTTTCTGTCACTGTTTTATCCTTACCCTCATTTCGCCAGCCAGTCACTACACGTACACATGGGACTGACTGCGCGGACCTAGTTATCTTATCAGTTGTCAGCCTTCCAACCCCTGACTTTTAGCGCACAGCTGTAGTTTAAAAGCGCGTCAGATTTAGCATAATGAGGAATGAGCTGAAGTGCTGTGTGCACGGGGCCTCCGGAGTCGGCCTCACTTTCCCTTCCCTCTCCAGTGACCAGTTGGCTGTCTGAGCCTGTTTGCCATCTGGCGTTCGGGTGTGGCGCACTGGCTGACAGCTACAGCAGCTTGCCTGCATGTGTGACACACGATCTGATCAGACACTGGGTTGCGTTACAGAGCATGTCCCCCACTGGCGTGAGAGATGCATGTTCCGTTCCTGATAGGATCGAGCGCATGGACTGACAGCTACGCTAGTTAATCTACGTGCGCCACACATGACCTGGTTACCAAGTCATGCGTTTGGGTACAACAAGGAACGTGCCTCCGACTTGCCTGAGAGGTGCGTGTTTTGTTCAGGTGGTAGGTGATATGAGGCTGGTTTGTGGTATGGGAATGTGTGGGCTGAGGGGAAATGACTGGACGGGGTGCGCTAATGGGGCTTGAACCGCGGTTTTTTACCGCAAATTTTCATGGAGGCGCATATTGCCGAGTAGGCTCATGCGGGGACTGAATATCCGTTGGCAGTGCGAGCAGCTGAGGTGGGTGCGACGTGTGTGTTAGGGCTCCTATTCGCCATTTTGTGTTTTGGATTCGCAAGTGGCTGACCGGGTCATTGCGTGATATGAAGGCGAGGTTGCAAGGAACCGGTTGGGATCGAGCCTGCATTGTAGGTAGGGGGGCGGTCGTGGTAACAGTGGTCGAGGTTGTGCTGTGTGACAGGGCGCCAGGAGTGTTTTGCTTGATGGTTGTGCTCTTCGTCACCGTCGACTCAGGGCCTGTGTTATTGGCGGCGGTGGTGGTGGGCAACCGAGCATCGGGAGTCTGCTTGCCAATAGCGGTCGACGTCGTTAGGACAGAGGCGGTTTTTGAGATGGGGAGGTGCTGCGTTGGTAGCGCATCGGGTCCAGAGATTTTTCGACGAGGCCGTTCAGTTGGCATCGTGCGTATGATGGAAGGGGTGGTTGTTGGAATTTTTGGTCTGTGAGATTCGGGACTTGCTATTCACCACTTTTGCTTTGGCAGTGGAGACCTGGCTGGCCTCGTAGATTGTTGCACTAGCGTTTGCGGCTGTTCTTCAGGCCCGTCGATCCTTGGCACGCTCCGCCCAGGTGCCCGGGTCTATTTGTAGGTTATTGATGGAAATTTTCAGTGTTCTTGTAACGTCTTCTCGTTCCTACCTATCGACAAGCACGCGCGGTGACTTTGCTGTAGAATAATCACCTGGGTAGGCGCCCGTCGTCCAACCCCATGACGTGGTTATCTATCGTAGTTCGATTTGCCACTACATGGCGTGGACGCTGCGGATGCTGGTTCGTTCCAGGACTTCCGTATCTGTGATTCTGCCCTGCCGCATCAACCTTCGTATTCTCCGGAGGCAGCTGTGGTGGAAGTGGTTGAGGCTCCTTGCCTCGTTCTTGTACACTGTCCAGGTTTCTGCCACGTACAGTAGCATTGTCAGGATAACGGCTCGGCACATCTTCTGTTTCGTGTTGAGTTAGAGTTCGCAGTGATTCCAAACTGAGTCCTGTAGCTGGCCGAATGCCTGGCTGAGTTTGGAAACTCCATGGGCCACTTCGTCGATCTCGACATTCCTTGAAATTGTACTTCTGGAGAATGCAAGTTTGTCCACCGATAAATGTTGTGTTCTATTGACATAGATATGGGATCAGTGCGACTCCGTTTTGGGCGCCGGTTGGCGCATGGCCGTGTTGCTTGTCCATTCGAAGTTGAAGCAACCGGAGGCGAGGAGGCCTACACTCCGCTGTATGTCATCTTCCGTTGTGATGTCAAATGTGCATTCGTCTGCGAACGGTAGGTTGTGAGTAAGGGTTAGTAAAGCGATTTCCAGTGTCACCTGCGAAGTAGGCAGTTGCGGACCAGTAGCAGTGTTAGTTGTGTGCCGATGGCTGCCTGGAGTGACTTCCCTATAAAATACACCAGGAAATGATGAGCGTGAGCCCTAGTTAAATAATTTATTCAGCCTCTGGTACCCTTAGGACTGGGCCTCCGCTCAACGGACGAGTTGAGGACCAAGGAAGCCGAATTGCACCAAATCCCATGAGTCTCTTTTCTACAAGTTTATCAACTCCAGACCTTGACCCGTACCGCGATGTGCATGTTCCTTTGAGTGACCGAGCCAAAGTTTCACTTGTGTGCTGTGTCGAGGGTTATACTTGTGCGTCCTTGTATTGTTGTTGTCAACTCTGCAGTCGCTGCGGTCTACGTCCAACGCCGAAAGTTGATAGGGTACAGAGAAAGGACATTTATGACCAACTTCAGACTGATGTCAGACCGGCCCGTACGCGCCACTTTCTGTCACTTGCGATAGTTCGGTATGTCAAGACGGGAGGGGGGATGTGATATCCATTAAGCGGGCCCTCGGCCATTACGCAGTACGCCTACATAATAAGTCTTGTCAGTTTTTTGTAATCAGGACGGCCACAAGCACACAAGTAAGATAGTACGAACAAATTGGGTCGCAGTAATCACTGCAGTATTCTAGCATTGGGCTTTATTCCTTTTACACCTGAAGTACGAGAAGCAGAGCAGTGATTAATGAGATAGAACTGGATCGAGGCAGTAAGTTAGCATGACAGTTTCACTGCGCTGAGTCGTGCGATCATTGCAAATACTTCTAACCGACGCCCCAGGAGACATCTGTTCACTTAATTATCAGTGATGGGTATGCAGTGCTGAACCCTCTGGTGTGCCGGCATCAGTCGGGAAAATGGCGTTGAGCACACTCTTGTGTGGACTTCGCTACGTGCGTGCGACAAACTGTGATGTCTAAGTCCTTATGGATTCTTGCTTGTTCGCCTCCAACCGCTTCGCCACGCTGAGTGGACAACCACTTTTAAGTCCTTATCGTTAAGAAGCAAGTCACTTAAACTGAAGCATACTCATCGGCCTGCCTCGCAGAAGGCTTTAGTTCACAACAGGCGGCGCCTCAAAGAGCGGGTCTCCGGTGAAAAGACAGAACTGGTTTGTATTGCAAGGACTACCCGATTTTGGACCGGATCGAGCTTCAAGAACCAGTATTATATGATCACGCGCCCTACGTAGCAGGACAAAAACATATTTTGGAGTTGAACTGTATGAGATCGCAAAAACCCTCAGTAAATGACAATATAGGGAGGACGTATCCGATTCCAAAATTGAGTTAATCCTCTAAGTCACCCGCCTACCCTGCTGATCAGAGTCCATAACGCATCGGCAGCGTCAGTTTTAGAAAAAAACTCCCCGACTGAAGAATTTTGTTCAGCTTCTGAGCCTGTCCGGCCTGGCTCACCCGACTGCTGTCCAGTTAAAAGACGCCTTGGTGTCCGAGTATGATCGTAACTGCAGCCGAAGTCTGCGGAGGAGATCCATCCGGAGTTAACGAGGCCGAAAAACCGCAAAGCGTCTGGTGAGGGCTGCCCTCCTGCTGAAATCTATGGTTGGCGTTGAACGGTACAGCTAAACGACTTGACCAGGATCTAGGAAGCAGAGGCCGTTCCCACGGAATAGAGCCGCACTACGGACAAATCGATCTTTACGGAAGGCAACATACCATGGCGCTAGAACAGCCACAGCGTGGGTCTTCACAAAATTGCTGTGGAGGTCTTAGCCGTCGTCCTCATCAGTCGCTTATCCTTGTACCTTGGCTCGCGGAGAAGTAGTCACTGCAGTATTCAATCAGGCGGATGTTTTAATCGGCACCTCTTTCTTCGACAAACTGTTGAGCACGGTTTCCTTTAAGAACAGCTGACACGTATGTTTCTTGGACTTCGCCACTGCAGTTGACTCCATTCATGCAGATCCTCTGTGGTCGGTCATACTGCATACTGGAAAGTCACAGGTCTTCCGATTAACTCAAACCTGCTATCACAAAACAAGGATCGAAGTCCATTTGAACTTCGGTCTGCGCACTACGGATGTGAGTTACGCCGGTGACGTGGTCCTGAAGATGATTCAGGCAACATAAGTGCCTGAGTTAATTCTTCTACCTCAGGCCCTTCCTGGTCGGGGAAATGGTGAGGTTCTTAAGCCAATGTACAGCTTATGCTACGTTGGGCCGAGCTTTTTGGCAGGTGGACAGCATAAAGGTGAAATCAGCCTTCGAATAATTAGACGCCCACGGTGTTTGTCCAACTATACCAAGACCTGTGGACCCTGCGTTAGACTAGTATACAGACCAAACTACAAGTATGCGAGGCTTTTGTGAGGACGGTTCTTCTCTGTAGAGGTGTGTGCTCCAAATATATAGTTTATCTGTAAGTATTCGACCGACGGTACTTGCGTTCTCCGTAAGGTGCTTCATATCCCATCTCTATCAGCTAGTCAGGAACAGAGCCTATCAACAGTGCCCTCACCGCTTACCGACTGAGATGATTCGACCATATGCACCACCTATTTTACGATAAAATTGTTTAGGATGTCATTTTTTCCTGGTTGGTGACGACGTAAAGGTGGCTAACTGGCCGTATAGACTCGGTAAAAACTAACTCTGATTGCATGTCTGGCCCAATGGTCTCTGGTCTGAGGGACCGGAATGCCTGCCGGCTCAACTCCGCTGTCACCCTACTCAAATGGAGGACGAACATTCGTGATGTGGTTGATCAGGAACATGAAGCCGGCGGAATCAATCCTAGTTAACGCTGTTACTAGTATAAGAATGCGAGAGTGCAACCACCCTTAAAAATCCCGAACTGTGACAGCGGCGGCTTACTGAACAGGTAAACATGTCGAGGGGCATTTTAACGGCGATTCCATATACGTAGTTTATTTTTCGACAGAAAAGTAACTCCGTTGACCCGGGATGGATTAAGGTAAAAGACCCTGTTAGCCTTCATTACGTTTGACTAACCCCGTTACAGGATCGGAATAAATGTGGATACCCAAGATGGCTCGTGGAAGGCAGACCTGGCCCTTCTACAGATACAATTTATTGCATAACCTCCTTTTTGTCAACAGGCGTCAAGGCCATACGGATTGCTACACGCAACCAAACTATTTTCAAAAATTACCCCTAAATACCTGAGTTAGGCATGGCCAACTCCCGAATATTTCAGGCTCTTCTAAAAGATATTTCAGTCACTGTCAGTGGTTACGAAATTGTTTCTCGTCCGTCGGACTGCGACCTATTTTCGCTGGATTGGACGACACTAGTGCCATCTTCAAGCATTACCTAAGGCACTGAACGCAGAGCAGACGAGGCTTGCTATTTCACTTTACCTTACAGGGGAGCGGATGAAGAAGCGAAAAAGTGTCTTGCAACCGGTGCTATAACCTCTCTCGGTTTCCCACATCAAATTGATTCTTAAGCTCAGTGTACATTGCCACTCGGCGGGAGATTTTTCCACGGACAGAAAACCGGACATCTGTACACAGTAAATCTCCCTAAGCCCACAGGCATCCAAAAAGGGAAACCTGCCCGACCATTTAGGCCACGCGGTTCAGACCGACATAGTCATTGTGTCTTTGAGGGTCACTGGTCGTCTCTTGCGTTTACTACTTGGCGTGACCGTGGATGGCTTCATCTTTGTAATAATCAAACATTTTAGCCGAAACACTCAACGCAACTCTCAAAAGAATAAATTGAAGTAGTTGGCGTCGAACAAAATCCGCAAAAATGTCAACGTAACAGCTGAGGCCCTGCAAGTTCTATTATGAAAGGTAGCAGTGCAAAAGAACCATCAAAAATTATAAGACTGGGTTACACCTATGCGGACGTCTTCTGGAAGAGTTCCAAAGGACGGCGTGGGATGGTTGGAACCTAAAAGCACGCCAAACCAGCTGTTATAGGAAAGAGTTCCTTTCTGATCATCATGTTCTTACACAACCCAAGCCCTCCCTATGTAGCTGGAGATCGGAATTAACCGGGATGACTAATAACATCATCATTGGTATATTCAACACAAGTTACTGGACGACTTTTTGTCATCACTATGGTTCGAAAAGAGGTGGGGGGCCGAATGGCGCCTCTTAGTACTCTGGTTATTGCAAGAGTAAATTTTTCGTCACCTGATTGGGCAGGTTATGTTAGGGAAGGAAAACGATCTACGAACCAAAATGCAGTGTGGTACATGTTACCACGCCGTTGCGCGAATATAATGAATGCAGGTCCACGGTAATGGTTTGAGAACTTTTATGACATGACATCGCGCGCCAGCTGCGTTTCTTAAAAAGCGCCTTTCTGTAGCTTCCTTAGCCCGAGTAGAAGCTCTATAACTCAGCATAAGGCTGCTTACTGGTCGCTCCAGCTCGTTCTACATCCTTGGCGCATCGCAGCCATCCTGAGTACTAGCCTGGTCCTGAAAGGCTTTCTTTGTCCGCCTTTGAACTAAGATGGGAGATCTCTCTCAGGTCTATTGCAATCTCACGTTCGATACAACCTTCCACATCGTCATCCGGAACGATTCAGTGGAAAGTCTCGACTGTCAGACCGCTCACCCACTATATATCTGAAGGGGTTCTGTCAACACCGCGGTACCCTAGTTTATATTTGCCAAGCGGGTATATTAATTCCTCAGCATGGCCTTATGGGAGACAACACAGATCAAAAGTACATACAACTCGGTGGTCGACCAGTTGCAGGCCGTTACTCATGCTTACCATTTCGTTATACCGTATATGCTGTGCGTCGTGAGTGGATCCACGGTGAAAATTAAATTTTTTAACTTTCCTGGAATTCAAAAAGAACTAGCATGGTTACAGGGCGACAAAATCACGTGAAGGAAGCCTATATGGACTTATTTCGTTGTATAGTCTTGCCACCTTCCAAGAAAAAAAACGGCATAACTTTGTATCCACCTGGTTTAAGCAAAACAGTAGATGAATCGTGACTGAGCTCCTGCCACACCACCTACTGTGATGCTTTATCCGATTGTAAACTTCCGGATGACCGAGAAGCTGGCGCGGTTCGCTCGGCTCCGTCCTAGCTCACCTCCTCGCCTTTTCTCTAGGTCCAGCCTTTTGATGCCGTTGATGGGCGCTTCGGGGACGCCAACGACTGTGTTGGTTTCTTCACTGCCGGCATAATTTCCAACCTACTGATTGTTTTCCTCCTGCTTGGAATCTTTTCCTATGGACTTTCTATGGTAATGGGCATCCAAACCAACGACGCCTTCGACGACCCCAAGTCCAAAATGTTGCAGATCGGAAGTACCACGGACTAGCCTCGCCACTGATCGTTTAGACACTTGTGAATGCGCAGTTCCTTCGGCCCACAGCCCTGCCTCTATGTGATCCGTTACATTATATACTTTATAACTCAAGGTGTTGACCACTCCTGATGCAACTAATCTCGATCATCATTCAACTTGTAAGTTGTGCTGTGATGTTCTGGCGACCTTTTTACGTATCTCGAATTTTCATTCCGCTAAAATTGTTGTGTAACTGTCAATCCTCTCAATATCTGGTCACTATTATCAATATATTCTACTTCCAGAGGCTAGTGGTTGCAGTCTTACTCACCCTGCTTAGTGGACATAATTGCTGGATTGACTGACTTTCTTCTACTCCGTTAGCAGAGTCGGTCTAGGGAAACGAACCTGGAGGTGACGTATGCTTCCGCGTCTGCATTTACACCATATTCGGCCTGTGTCAGCAAGCAATTGTCGTAACGCCCATAGGCCACGATCGCCTCGATACCGGTTAAGCGTTTAAAGTTGCGCTTTCCAATAGGAATTGACGGCGTACATGTCATTGCCGCTCTTTCCTCTCGAAGTAGAGGAGCATCTAAATCACTTTTGGAACGCCAGCGTTTTCAACGTATCTGTGTATTACAAATTCGAAGAGGACAGTGACGGGGGGAGGGTGGCTTGTCATGTCTCATCACTCCACAACCAGATGTAGTCGCCGCCAGCTGTGAGGAGACTGTTACCATTTGGGTGGGGACAAAGGGAGTGGATAAAGGGGACACCGGTGGTGGTGGGTTCAGACTGGAGGTCCGCCTCGTTGGCCAGATCCCGTGACCAGGCTGGTGATTTGGGCGAATGGTCCAGCACAAGGTTCGCTGCACCGCCTGTAACCACGTCCCATTGGTGCACCTTGGCGCAGTCCTCGGAACCGCTTACAATCTGAGCGTCCTGATTCATGAAACAGCAGTCCAACCTAGGGGGAGGGGAGGGCAGGAGAGGTCAGTTGCTGCATTAACGGCCATCCCAGTTTCCCATGTCTGTGCCGGTACTCCTTCCTGCCTATCCCCTTACATTTGGCCAATATTCTACTTAGCTGCAAGTTTAGCTGCGTAGTGGCTGGTCTTGGGCCACCGCTTAATCGATCGTGCAGCAGTGGTGAGGGGTAAAGATAGGGTAAAAAGGCAAGAAGTCGGGTGGTTGTAGTGTCCGGTCGGCTGGTTACGCGAGAGGGCTGAGTGCCACATGCCGAGAAGGCCTGGAAGGCACCTGCTTACTGGTTGGATAGATTCCATCCCCGTAGGCCAGAGAACAGAGCTAGGCTCACCAGTCCTGATATGGGTGGTTTAATCACTTCCCCACCCTCAAAGGCAGGGCTACTTACCTACCACGAATGGCCAGCAGACACATGACGGACACTGACGGAGATGGTCTGAGTGCCTGTTCGGCTGATTGGGTGTGTATAATGCTCTTCTTGACGTGCGAGTCCGGATTCGGTGTTAGTAACATCGTCACGACAATTTGCTCTTACAGTGTCGCCTAAATAAATGGCCAAAGACAGACGGCTTATGTACGTCACTTGTCTCGCAAAGCCACATTTCCCAATTACAACTCAGCAGATCGCACGAGCGTATTGTGAGCTTTTGCTTTCTGTCCGGGGACCACCTCGTGAGCTTCAGATGGTAGGTGTTGCGGGAAATTTCCGTACCAGAGCAGCTATCGAATTTGAACACTTTTACTTCCGGGAAATAGCATTACCTGCGTAAGTCAGTGTGTTCCCCCCTCCAGCCATTTGTTGGCAGTTATCAGACTTTTGGGCCCTCCAACTCCACCGAAAAGCACTGCTCGAAAGCTGACGAAGTCTTTGATGTTGTTGGGCACCAAATGGACGCAACCGTCGCAAGCCAACTCCATGAACTTCATATTGTTGCCTCGAGGGAGTGCCAGTTTCTTACTTGGTGAGCACTGCAAGCGACTCTACAACGTAATCTATGGCGTAGCTAAGTGAAAGTGTGGGGGGGTAGCCCTGTCCAGCCGTGTTGGCAGTACACAATACTCAGTATGGCCAATACCAGAGTATAATTTCATTCTCCGAAGAAGAGGAAGAATAACCTCTCCAGGGTGTCAAGTGGTTTTCTGTACAAGTCACACCAGAAGACCGAATTGTAGGTATCCTACTCACAAGTTCTCCTTACCTGGTTCTCGTCGCTGGTGCGGAGCCAAAGATGAAAACCTGGCGTTAGGTAGGGACAGACTGGAATACAGTTAACATACGGAAGCTAAGATATTCCATGTCCATCTGTACTGCAACACCATTAGGACATAACTTCTAGTTGTGAGCCCAGCTGAGAGTTTGACGACTGATAGTGCTCGAAAATTGCCCAGAGAAAACAGAGGGGACTTACTTGAAGACCTTGTTAACGTGGCCGGTGTATTTGCTCAGTAGCTCTCCATTCAGAGCATCCATGAGGCGTATAGTGGAGTCCTGAGAGGCAACAAGGACACACTGACCGTCGAAGGATATGCCCACGGAGGTGACAGGGTAACCGATGTAGTCCTCCAGCATCTCACCTGCACACAGAGTAACCGAGATGCAGCCAGAAGACAGAAAAGGGGAATGTAAGACCAACGCGTTTTTCCAGTTTGCCCGTCGACTCCATGTCAACGCTGGGTTTGAGTAGAATTAATCGCGCACTGTGCGGTGCTGGCCGATCGGACGGTGCAAACGCAAACATCAGCTAAAGTCTCAATGCAGCTATGACACCCGAAACGGGCAGTTTTGGCAGGGTTTAAAGTTCCTAGTGGAGTAGTCTGACCGCGTTCATGGCCTGTGCAGTTGGCAAAAATATCGGGAGGGGAATCAAACGACGATAGGTGAGCAATCTGCGAGAAAGTGCGAACTGGTGTGCTCGAAGTTACTGTGCAGCCCTCAAGCAGCCATAATGGTGTCCGGATCGGGTGTAGTTGAGCTTCTCTCGAAATTCTGCTGAGAAAAAAAACAGGGGACTGCGCTATCAGAGGCCATGGCTACTTGTGCGTCAAGGACAGTCCATGCAGTCAATTGCAATCCAAGACCTGCGCAATTATTCGGCTCGCGATATGTCGGGAAAAATATCACTTGAGGCTTCAAAATTTTAAAACTACTTATGGGTAAAGTGAGTGACGAACGTATTTTGGGAGGCATGAACAGATTAGGCAACATTTTAGGCGGCCGAACACTTGCAAGGTCGGTGGTGTGTTGAGCCCACGATAGTTAAAAATTCTCATTTAGGGCTTAGCTGTGCTTAACGCTGGTGACGTATCTCTCGGCCAATGATCTGTTCTTGTTCTATCAACACGTTTGCGCTGAATAATTGCCCGACATCGTGCATGTTTTATTCACTGGCTATAGGGGGGGATGTATCCCATTTCTCCTTCTGTTTGAGGGCTACTTTGAAAGGCCGATAAGACAGGGACCAAAAAGGATCCTGTCTAATGGGGGGCGTTTGTTACTTAAAAGGAGAAACTGGCGTAAAACAACAGAGTCGGTCCCTGCTATAGAACAGTGGTGCTTGGGTAGGTGAACCGAGTAGGCGTAGGCGGTGAACACGACAGGCATGGCGATGCAAGCAACCTCATACCTTAAAACGCGGGCCACGCAGCAGACTCACCGGTCTGATTGTGAACGACAGCATCTACCGTTCGAAAATGCAAACGCGAAATAAAAGCGTGCCTCGGTAATCACTTATTCCTCATCATTTACGCTGTACGACAATTAAATTTTCAACAGTACCTGCGTCAAACCCCAAGGCCTCAATCGCTAAATATCTGATTGAATCCTCACGAAGCGATGGGAGGATACGCATCTCTGAAAGGTCTTTTTCCTGATCTCTAACAGAGTCCAATACCTTTGGCGGATATTGGGACAAGAAGCTTGAAGTAACATTGCATTTAACGGGCGCAGCGCAGTCATTGGCTCACCTTTGCGAATATCGTAGAGACGGACACATCGGTCGATAGAGCCCGTGAGAATCTGCCAGCGGCGCACTGCGATGCAACTGACACTATCCCTCGCCTCGTGCATAGTCTGAATGGAAGGGCGAAAAAGGCACAGACATAAGACGGTCGTTCAAGTGAAAGATCCATTACGCCTTCTGAATACACACAGGCCGAGCTTACCTGCACACTAAGTCCAGCATAGTCGGACCAAAAAGCCCAAACAGACCCCATGGTTCGTGCCTACACTGCGGCGAAGGCGTGTGCCTCGGTGGTCTCTGTTTGCAGGAAACCGTAGCACACGATGAGACCCACCGTCGTGAAGATGTCCATCCGCAGGTATGGCCTGCGTCAGCGGATAAAGTGGCCAAGATCAATAGTCAGCTTTTAAGTGGTCATGAAGGCAAGCCAACGGCATGTTGCGGTACGCGCATGACACGGTAGACCGCGGCGTCAAGCTTGCCCTGCTATCTTTTCCAGTCCATCCTGTGGGAAGGAATGGATGACAATGATGCTAAAGAATCCTTAGTCCCTGTTGTAGCAGGCGGCTAACACCGTGGCCAAGGGCTTTGTCTGGTCTTCGCTCCTCTTATGGAAGCATAGTGCTCCGGACTCCCTGGATACATAACTGCGACTGCATATCCACAGCAAGGATATCCTATCACACCATTGATGGTGCATGTAACCCCTAACTTACAACGCAGCCTACATCTACGGAGGCCAGTTGAGATAACAGTTGGCTTGTGATTGTGACTTTGGAAGTTCAAGTGCAACCGGACGGGACGGCAACATCCTCGTGGGACGAACGGATTGGATTGCTCGGAGACTGACAGCAACCGCAAAGGGGTCTGTTTTGTTCTCCCAAACACTGCAAAGATATTTTCACCTTGGATAAACAGTTCAGTTTGTGTTGAAGCAACTCCACCCGGCCAGCCCGAGAGAATTTGACGCAGCGGTCAAGGCCAAAGCAAACAAATTCAAGGGTGTAGAGTTATTTACTATCGGGCGTACCTGCTTCAGAAAACTAACTTTCCTCTGCTCTCTATGCGTAGATATGCAGGCGTTTAGGATTTATTCTGAATTCAGTGAAGCAACCTAATAATAACCTGGCCTGATGTTCACCGAGCGTCCCGCAGCAGAGCGGACGCAGGAACGGTGGCTTGCCCCTGAACTAGTTTATAATGATAATACCGGCAATTTGTCTACTACTCTGAGCTTTCGAGCTCGTGCAGGAGTCCGTTCTCCGAGATGACACCAGCCAGGAGCAAGGCAAGCCGAGAATTGACTGAGGCCTGGGCCTCGGATGAGAACTCAGCCGATCAGGCGTCGGCATACGGAGCCCTGCGCAGCCACCTCCGGATACGCATACCTGGCCGCTGATTGGCTAGTACTCACTGTAACTGTCGTTTGTCCTGTTGCACGAGTTGGGGAGTTCAGAATAACAAACAAATTGTTCCGGTGCTCGACCAGTCTTTCTTCTCTTCCTTGGCCATTTCAAATACTTTTAGGCACCTCTCTGCCCATATAACGCGGTCTAAAAATCTGCTCAGCAGCTCGCCAAAAACGAGGACGATAACAGGAGCCACTCGCGTGTGAATTTACTTCTAGAGATGACTTTCGTAGGGCCAAAGTCGCTCTCTCTCTTCCCACTCCCACCGGCAAAAAGGCGGGGCAACGAGGACCGGAGGTGGACACGGACGCGGTGGATGGCTTATCCTGTCTCTGTGTACCGCGGTGTCCCTGGTCTCTTTCCGACCACACAATCAAGTATCTCACAAAATCTCATTGGCGTTGAAAAGGTGTGTCGGCCAGTCCAAGCTGGGTTCGACTGCTAGTAACAGCAGCTATCAGGGTGTTACCGCCGCGCCCAGCACAGCATCGTGGAGTCACAGATGAGAACTGAGCGTGAACTTAGGCCTTTGTTGCAACTGCCGGGCCATCAAGTGGAAAGCCCCTTCTGGGCAACCCTACTTTCAGTGGTAGCCGTTGTAGTTGGGAGTAAAATCACAGAACAGCCATAGACGATTTTAGATAATAGAAGTGACCTATGCGTGGCGGAGCAGAAGAATAGTCTGAAAAGTGAGGAGGGTCGACCAGCATGGCAGAACCAGGGTTTGACAAACAAGTGTAAATGCAAGGTCATTCATCTGGTGTGAGTATTAGCGAAAACATCAGTGAGGTCGGATGTCAGAAGAGAGACATGATTGGTGCACAAAAAACTGAGGTCATCTGAGGGCGAATCATGGATACACAGTAGAATAACTTCAAATGAATGCATTTTTATGGAAATTTTTGCCGGCTGCTTCGCAATTGGGTAGGAAACCTGATTTTTACCGACTTTACTGAAAAAACCCGACAGCGACTGTGAATTTTAAAAACTTCCGGCAATTTAACTGGACCTCCACCGGAGAACAGGTCATTTTTATTTTCATTTAGTTTGAAGACGGATTGTCTGATTCATTTTTCAAATGTTTGTCTCTTTATTCGAGACTTTTCAAAAGCTGGCTTCTCACGTGCACAATTGCAAAAAACGACTGCCTGTCGTTATGTTACCGCTCGCAGGGACTCCGAGTGCGTCGAATTTAATGGGCGCGGAGAAAGCCTTGTGCCGTAATCACTAGTTCACGTCTGCATAAATGCGAACAATCAGTCTGTTTGATGTGTTTTAGAAGTATCCGCTATGATATTTTGCAAGTCGAAATGCGACGATAAGTCCGGCCGAGTAATTTTTAGTCTGCCTTGTGTTATAGAAAGAAATGGGAGTTAGAACTGAACCGTTTGAAGTAACGGCAACGAAATTTTGTGAAATTTGGCGCAAAATGCACACTATTGGAGCAGTTTAGGATACTAATTTTTAATAAAATGCGCACGGTTAATGAAGGAAAATCCAACCAGATCGGATTCAATTCGAAATATCTGCACGTGCCAATAGGTAAGCACCGATCTGCATTGACAATAAAATTCCAGGGCTCGTGGAGGCTGCTACAGGAAGAACTTGTCTCCAAGGGTCTAGCCCTGCACAAAAATTGAGTGGGTCTCATTCGTCAAAGACGTGTGTACTTATTAGTAAGAAATCAGCTTACTGATCAGGATAGATGGATCCAGTCTCGCAGGGCGGCACGCGCACTCAAATTGCAAGTTTTAGCTCCCCCGGGGACATAGTTCTACGCTTATCACCGCGACGTCTACGAGGCATGGAAGCTTTCATTACCAGAGGAGATAATAGTGCTATGCCCCCGTGGCACTTGCCACACTGGCGCATAGCTGACCCCGAGGCCAGCGTCACGCCCAACTGCTGAGACAATACATCAATGCCCACCCTCGAAGACTTCAATTTTTACATTGGAGAAACATCAGCCATAGAGACAGCGGAAACATGTACAGTGCGTGACCGGCCTCATAGAATGTTGGCCGAAATTCTGGGACGCGTTTTTGATTAGGGAGGATGGTGGGGTTGCAATATTGATTAGCATGCTGCATAGTCCTTTAGTACTTCGGACTCGCCAGGATGTCGGCTTTTGAATGCACTCCTTTTTGACCTGCAAAAACCACACTCGGTAAAACAATGACTACTTAATTAACATGCATTTTTCCTATTGATGTTCGATGGTCTTATAAATTCAAACACATTTTATAGAAGATATGCACAAAAATATGTTTTCTTTTACTCCCTTGGTAGAAAATCCCATTGTCTTCAAAATTTACACCCGATGAAAGTGTGTATTTAGGTTTTAAAAAAGTTTCCCAATTCCCGAATAATTTTGAGCCTGATCTGCCATTGCATTAGCGTTTGGCGATTTCAGTCCACAAAGTGCATGCTTTCCGCGTAAGGAAAATCATATAATCCTCTATGCCTTTAAGAATAAACTATATAGGGTTCATAAAATTTCACAATGGATCCGGACTGTGTTGTACATTTCATGAGGAGCATTGGTAAACGGACATAAGCGGTCCTGTATGCATGGACATCGCACGGTCTTAAAAGTCTCATAATTAGAAACTTCTTTAAAACCTAGGTACACACTTTTTCGGATATAAAATTTGAAGACAATGGGATTTTCCACCAAAGGAGTAAAAGAAAGCATATTCCGTGCCTGTTTTCTATAAAATGTGCTTGAATTTATAAGGCCATCGAAAATCAATAGGAAAAGTGGATGCTATTTCAATTGTCAGTTTTTACCGAGGTCAAAAAGGAATGCATCCAAGATCCGACATCCTGGCGAGTCCGAAATATTAAAGGATTATGCTGCATTCTAATCAATATTACAACCCCACCATCCTTCCTAATCGACAACGCATTTCAGAATTTCGGCTAACATTTCATGAGATCCGTAGCGCACTGTATATCATCAGGCGATCATGGGCCAAACCAAGCATGAGGAAACTCGAGAGTCGACCGGTCATTCATTGCGACAACTGATCAACGTGCCCACACTTGGTTGGCTTTTGCTCTTTTGAAACTTCAGGATAATTAGCATACAATTCCCTGATATCAACTCTTTCACTCCTTTATCTCCTGGAGGACACAATTGTGGCAGTGCACAGTAAGAAGTTTGATGGATACCTGGATTGGGTACTGAGTACGAGCCCGGGCATCCCAGGCTAGGAGCATTCCGTCCACACCGGCAGAGAGAAGGAGACTGGGTGCGGCTGCCTCCTCTGAGGGGCCGGCAAATTTCACCGCATTCACGCGACCCGCGTGCTTTCGCCATCGGCGCACGGCCTGCCCCGAGACCACGTCCCACAGGATCACTAGCTGGTCCGTGCCTCCTGATCCCAGCTGACTGTTGTCACTGGAGGACTGTGTCAAGGGCAAACAAAAAACACGTACGTTTGCACGGGTACTCAAAGGCATGTGCGGACAGATCTTTACGCTTAAAGGTGCAAGAAAACAAATCGATCTCTGAGAAGGGTATTATTACTTATCTGAGGATTCGCAACCGCACGTACGCACATAGTCGAACTCTGTGTTGAGAGCTGATCTCCTCTTCATTAACTGCGATGAGAAGCCAGTGTCGCATTTAGGCAGCAGCACTGGACACAATGGGCAGGCAATGAAAGACGTGCTCAAACCCCTCAGCTACCCTTAGATGAGTTGAGGCATTCTCATGGTGTTGTCACAGGAGGTGCAGGCAGGTTCATTAAAGGAGGAATTCTGTATACTTTTTCCAAAGAATCTTTTCTAAAGAACGGTGGTGAAAGCCTACAGTTTTAGTCCACCGTGTGCAACCGTAGCCCAGAATTTACGGCCATCGGAGAAAACGAGGGTGGGCGTACTTTTGCGGTAAAAGAGATTGCGTGAAGGCACTTTTGAGGTTTAGCGAGAACCCTACGAGCAGTGTAGATTCGGCCGATGATGTCAATACTACTCAGTCTGTTGTGTAGACACCCGGTAGGCAGGTAGCAATGTACAGCATGTACTAGCGATCCTAAGAATCACCTGCTTTCAGTTATGCCGCCCAGTTCTGTGAGGAAGGCAAGTTCAAATGGGACAACTCTCCGTCTAAACACGGCACAACGGACTGTCAGTGGGTTAGGCAGCAGATCAATATTTATAAGGAGTAGTCAACACGCAGCCCCGAAGTAAAACCTTCGTAAAATCTCTGGAGCATGTTGAAGTGAGAGCATGCCTAAGTTGGAGATCTCAAGGAGACTATTCAGGTAGCATGAGATACAGAATTAATGAGCTATGAAAGTACTTCGTTTGTCGCTTCCTCCTATCGCGCGTAGTATATTCGTCTTAGTGCAGCAACACCTTGCTCGTTAGGCGGGCCTCTCAGCGTTAAGCGTTGCAAAGAAATTGGGATCCCTAAACGTTGGAGTGAACGGAATGTCCGAATCTGAGCCACAGCCGTCGTCGTCTGTCTTATCTCCTATCAAATCCAGTGTTCTAGGTAAGACGACGCACAAGGTCACACGAGACGGCATCTGTCGGGCTAACTGGCGGGGTTGGTCCCACCTTCACCGTCAAAATATTGCATCACCTCAGTCGGAAGCCTGAGCGATCTTATGGACGCATTCCGTCACCCGCAAGGATGCAGTTATAAGGGAAGGAGAGAGGAGGACCGACTAACCTGAACATCAGAGACCTCGCCGCTGTGACCGCTATAGGTCTTCAACAGACGCCCAGCGTGCGGATTCCACAGGCGAATGGTCCTGTTTCCACCAGCTGTCAGGCAGTACTGGCCATCGGCGTTGAAACGCACGGCTCGGACAGCATTCTGTCGACAGAACAGGCGTCTGACCGGCCTCAGGGGCAATTTTGTTTCAGCTTTTGCATCTTCCGGGGTGCCAGAGAAATCAGTTGAGGCCTAGATTTAAGATAATGAAACGGAGGTGGGGAATAAACATTCACCTCAGGGAATGGATGGATAACAGTAGGCCTGGAGGTTGAAATGGCAACTTTGAGTGCCACACTGGCAGGCTGCACAAGGCGGAACAATCTGAACGAGAGCTCCAGACTCTAAATCTTCACTATGTGAGGAAACAAAAAACGCCCATATCACCCATTACCGCGCGAGTTATTACCCAGAAGGTTAAACGAAACAGTGTGCGGTCTCATATCTAAGTCACCATGGAGTAAAGAAAAAGTCAAACTGGTCAGTGATCTTAAGAGGGCTTCACTTGCGATAGTGCTCGCTCCTCTGAAGCGTTATCGCATGCTAGACCACCTCTCAAGAATCAACAGACATTGCGGCGTCGAAATGCTTCAAGTTCCACGTCCCTAGTTTAGCTATTGGATCGGGGTGGTGATAATGGAAGGATTTAGAGGGATTTCAACTGTTATTAGCGCAAACGGAGGAAAATTCACAGATATGGCTATAAAACGCTGGTTGTGTGTAAGAGACGGGGGATGAACCGCTAACCAATGAATTTACATCAAGCCCTCGCGAAAGGGATCAAGGACAGGCAAAGCAGCGTTCGAGGCGAGTCAATATTCGGTGCCGATGGGTATATCTAAAGATGCATGGACATCGCGACTGTTGAAACGTATTCAAAGTTCCAAGAGGCCGAAATCCTCGCAAGGGGTGACAACTGCGTGAGTCGTGAGTTACTCGCGTCATGGTTCTCAGGTGCGCAGCCCATCAACAAGCGCAATGCTCTCCCGTTACCGTATTCCGTGCTGAGATTTTCCGTGGGCAGGGGAATTAGTCACGTGGGGAGGGCGCGGGCGAGCAATCGTCACACCAGCATCCAACACGGATGACGAAGTCGCGGCAATTAATGACTCGGACGCGGACTGACAAGCCATCATCGCATCAACTACGATCCCAGTGGTGATCGCGAGAGCTGTTAATTACAGTACGCCCATGGTCCCATGGCAGCCACCTGCTATGAATACTGCACTCCTTGTGCCACCATTACCCCTATCTGTGACTGTCTCTGATGATGGGCTCGAGTGAGAATCCGAAACGTCAGGCCAATAAATTTTTTGTTCCAGTGATCGCATCTTCGTCTTCTGTATTCAAAGCCCTCGAAAAGTCTGGGCTGAGTTGGATTATTTTAGAAGAAAGTGCAACAGGGCGCAGCGGATAATCAAAATAAATCATACATTCGGCCATAGAATATGGATCAACAGTAAGCCCTATAAACGCGAAAAATGACGCGTGCCATAAATCACTGTCCGTGTACCGGCGTCCCTAGAACTGACTAAAGTCAATTTAAGCAAAAATGGCCTATTCCTAAGCGAAATACCATCAGATCTAGTTTTTCAGGAGGGAGGAAACCGGACACTGAGTTTGTTTAATGGATGCTATAACCTCCAGCAGAATAAATGCGCCGTGTTCAGGCCAGAAAGTAAAACAGTCGCGTGTTGTACGCAGGAAGTTAGTTGGGTGTTATCTTAATACAGGCAATAGATAAGGCATGAGGCACGTGTCTTGCCTATCCGCCGCTGTTTGATCCTGACAAGTTCTGTCCTGGTGCCTTTACTTTAAATTCTGTTAAACGAAGTCATAAAAAATGTAGACGCATTACCGATATGAACGAGCAAGCGAGACCGGAGCGGTCATTTGTGCTTTATATTCCCGCCATTAGTCAGCCTAAACCGCTTCTGCCTTTGTGGCCAGTATTCTGTTGTCAATTGCTCGGTTCCAGGTGACCGCCTACAAGGCCTCTACACCTGAGCTCCACATCAAAACGGAGGGTCCGTATTCTATCCTGCCAGTAGGCCAGACCGGTAATGGCCAATCACATTCGACTTTAAACCCACAAACCACTAAACAAAAAATCTGTCGAAGACTTAGACCATCGGCGTCTTTGTGAGGAGTTGGGCGCGACGCAAACCCCAAATTATCTACGTATTTATGGTCGAGTGGGTTCAAAAGGAAGAGTCTTGGATTACCGAGCAGTCGACTGGCGCATTTTAGTCGAAAATTTGAAGAGCGCCTCAGGCCAGAATTGGATTTGTAGACAGAGAGTCGGCTATAATCCTCTTAAGAAAACCTCTGGGCTTGCGAGCTAGACCGTCAAGACGTTGAAAGCTCCCCTTCCACCCCCCCCCCTCCCCCCAACGAATTAATTAGTTCTGTGCAATACCTATTGGCGAACGAGATAAAGGGTTTTCTCGTCGAAAGTTCAAGCAACCAGTAACGGAATAATGAAGGGGCGAAGCAGCAAAAAGTGGCTAGTTAGTGAGTAAAGTGTATTTCTTGAAAAGCGTAAGAAGTTGTACAAACATGATAGGCAGTCCTTGAAGTCCTTCAGGAGGCAGTGAGGAATTTCAACTTTTCCATCAATTCCTCTAAAATGTGAGAAAATGGTCTGGTGAGTGGACGATTGCGAAATATTTCCGTTGCAATTATTATGGCGTTATTGCCATGGTAGGTGGTCTTACAGACGTGCGCCGCCTGGAATGTTTTATTTTCCCTGAGACGGTACTTATTAGTTGCTAGTAGAACTTAAAGGTTAGCACAAGGCAGAGCGACTTACGGGTGTTCTGGTTGAGCCAACTTAGCGAATGCATGTGCGAATTGAGGATCCGCGTCACCTGACTAATCACGTTGGTCGACTTAGAGGCTGAGTCTGGAGCAGCTCCGTCGTGCGCTATTTTGGGTTCAGAGATATCACTGGTGATGGAATTCACCCGGTCGGCCATCTCACGCAGGTCTGTGAGCAACTGACCCAGCTCCAGGTCAGTGTTGACGCACATCTGGAAGATGGCTTCGCGCTCCGCATCAGCGTGCTGTTGACTGGGCGGTAGATCAGTGGCCGCCTGCTCCAATGGCTCCAAAAGACCCTCCAGCTCACGCTGCTGTGATTCCACAAATTCCAGTTCCTATCAGGATCGAAGAATGGGTCGCGGGGGTGATAAGAACCATATAAACAGTCAAACCGGCATGCGGTTCAGCTAGCCGTGCATTCATTTTAAACATGGAACAGAAAAAGATTAAGGAAAGGAAAAGGGGTAATATATAAGATTTCTTGCATAGCGCCAGAAAGTCGCGGTTTGCGTATGTTGCTTTCCGGAAAGAGCTGCGAGAAAATAAAGGAGAGATGGATTTGAAATCAGATATGCTGATCCGATATCGATTAGGTTGACGTTTCACGTGGGACTATTAATGCAACTAAACTAAAATCCAGACTCGCTTTTCAAATTCGAATTTACTATTTAACCCAACAGATAAACATGGAATCTACAATACCTTCAGTAATATTTTAGGACACTCAGGGGGATGATTAAGTCTCAGTCAACGTGTATGACCTAATCGTTTAATGTATTCGCAACTATTTATGAAGCTAGCGCCTTCTAGTGTTCACATAAGGCTTACTGACTTCTGTAGAGATGTCATCGCCTTGCTCAACTACGCACTGCGTTGGTGATTCTCCTTAGGGAAATGAAGGTTGTAGGGGAGTCGAATACCTTTTTCTGACAGACGCGAAATAATGGCTGCGCTCGTGCTAGTGCTCGACTGCCAATGGGCTATCAGCAATAAGAGCCTCATTCATATCCTTAACAGTGAGGACAACTACCACTAACATGGCAAATAAACTGCTAGTTTTCGCATTTGATATCTGTCTTTCGGGGCCACTGCGTCGCCCTAATAGTTCCTGCCGTCTGCTCTAGCTGACTTCATCACCACTCTACGGAGTTTTTAGAACGGATTGGTCCAGACTGCCCGGGCAAACAACTGTAAGGTTTTGAGTTGGTCCAGCCATTGGGGAGTCCCTGAGGGACTCCGAGCATTGTTCTGCGTAGCGCAGACTGACATTCAGAAGGTCAGCACACAATCAGTTTCTCAATGCAGACAAAACCAAGTTATAGCAAATCCCAACGGGTTCGCCATGAGAATCCGAAACATGGACAAATGGGCAATTCGCACCGTTCGAAGACGCGTCGACCGTGGCCCATGGATGGAGCATCCGACACAAACTTGGGAGGTCGGTAATTCAACAACGCTCGAGAACAAGTCTTTTGGCCACGTGAGTTTTCATATTTCCTACGGTCTGAATTGTAAAGATAATTGCAGCTCACTACATTTCAGAGACATTTGTGCACTCAGCCAACCTACATCAACGGCTTGTTCCAGACTTAAGTAAATTTTCGGACAGGCGGATTCTCGATAACCAGTTGGCTTGCTCGTACCAAGATTGCTTTGTTAGTACTTTCGAAAAGATGCAGTTAGTAGCCTTCTAAGGTTGCAGCATCACAGGGCCCTCATTGGATTTCGCAAAACTTTAAGATGTTAAGCCTGGTTAATTTCAGCCCTTAACATCGCTGCTGGTCTGCAAATGCTTAACAGCCTGCGTACGAAGCGCAGTCTTCATTGAAGGTCGTTTCATTACTCGACGCCTTTAGACGCGCCAGGTAGTCGGCAGTAAGATTAAGAGGTGAGTGGCATCTCTTAATTCATGCCGCTTTACGCAGCCTAGATCTTTCCAATGACAGATTGATGCAACGTGGGCCCATACTCCATTGGTAGGGGGCCGGACTTCGGTCGGTCTGAGAGAAACAAGCTAGGGGATTACTTTCGAGTTTTGTCTGCCCTAATTTATGACTGACTGCCTAAGGCAAAAGCCAAAGTTGGACCTGTTTTTGTTGGTGCACTTCCGCCAGAAGATGTCTGCTTTGGTTGTATTAAAAGTGGCGCGCGCCTCTGATAATGAAATGGTTACACAACAATGGAGTTAAATCTCCAAAGAAAAGAAGCAGCACAGAGAGCACTGAATGCCGGAATGTGTCTCCTTGCTCTCCGGCTCCAATCGCCTTTTCCAATGGCCCAGCATATCTGGATATTATTACCTCGACCGCTTGACTGCCCAAATGTTGTTGTTTCTAATGGAAAATCCCATAACCTATGGAAGAGTCAGAGCTGTTCCATGGCGACTCAAAATAAACAATTATGCCAAATAAGCATGCTTACTGTAGGACGACTGTAGTATGATGGCCGAAAATAATGACGGTCCAGGGTTAAAATCTATCAGTTGATGAGATTTCTGGATGCAAGATAAGTTAGTTCGAATTGTTCAGGTGTTAAAAAAAGATCTGACTGGAACAGAGTGGACAAATTAGAAAGTGGCGCACCTGTTCAATCCTGCTCTGGCCGTTCTTACAGGCTTCAACCGTAGACTGAAGGCTCGATATTTTCTCCGCATTCTCCACTAGGATTCTGTCGGCTTTATTAAGACGGTTTAATTCTGTCGCAAAGTCCCGCTCTTGTTCATCCAACTCGTAGGTCCACTTGTTTACCATATCCTCTAATTGACGATAAGTCAAGGTGGGTTGGGCGGTTGTCGCTGCCGTGGTGGTGGACGTTGCCGTGGTTGTTGTCGTTGCAGAAGAGGTGCTTCCAGTGGTAGAAGACACACTAGTCAATCCACCAAAACTGAAACCTGACGTCGACTTGCCTGCTGTACTGCTGGTGGCGACGGAGGCAAAAGGTGTGACTGACGTCGCCGCTGTAGTGGTTGTGGAAGTTGAAGGTGTCGTAGCCGGCTTTGAAAGGGAAAGAGAGAAAGGACTTGCAGCGGCAGTCGTAGTACTTGCGGTTCCGAGAGTGAATGGTGACCCCTGGGCTCCGCCCATCGGCAGCGAAGTCTGCACTGTCGGAGCAACAGTAGTCATGGCAGCCGTGCCAACTGCAGTCACAGCAGCAGTTGAGGGCGTTCCAAAGGTCAGACCACTGGGAGCTCCAAACGCAATGCCTGTTGAAGCCGGAGTTGTTATTCCTGCTGTAACTGAAGGCGCCGACGCAGCACTTGTTCCTAGGTTGAAAGAAAAACCACTATGGGCTGACGTAGTGGAGGCTGTTGTGGTGGCCGACGATGACAGTGGCTTAGACAGCGAGAAGCCGAAGGATGGTTGGGAAGTGGTTGCACTTGTGGCCGCGATAGTGCCGAAACCGCCCAGTTGGAAGCCGGTTGTTGCTGGTGAGGTGCCAACAGCGGGTGCAGCCGCGGTAGCGGCGGGTGACGCTGTCGGCAGGCCGAAGGAGAAGCCGGGCTTGGTGTTTGTTGTGGTCGTGGTAGCAGCAGTCGAGGCATTCTGCGCTGCACCCAGATTACCGAAGGAGAACGCTGGTTTGGAGGTTGCTGTACCAAAAGTGAAGCCTGACATTGTGTCTACAGGATTATTGAATAGGACTTTCTAGACAGACGAACATCAGGACAGAGTATAATGAAATAGGTGAACGGAATCCGAGAATGACTTGGAGAAGCAAACAAAACTATAAGGTAGGCCACTGAGAATTTCGGTGGCATTACACCAACAAGCGGCGGAAATAACGCGAGACTAATCGTGCACTACCTTCACCCATGTTCACAGCTGCAGGTTATGGGGTTCAAAATAGACTGGAGAATGAACACGCCAACTTTCACTGTTCATGACTTGGAGAATACATATGAATACATAAAATTTGGGAGCATGCGAAGATAATTGACAGTTGGGTTGGTCGTGCAAGGAATAGGGCTGAGAGGGACAGAAAATGGGGTCCACATAAGTTTCGTCATAAAGTCTAAGTGGAACACAGAATGCACCTTAAATCCGGGGCAATCTTTTAGGATTTCCTTTTATATTATGACGGCCCGTCTCCAAAGCTACTCAGAGACCGTGACAATGAAGAGAGCACTAGGAGTATGCCGACAGTATCATCAAGTGATAAATTTTGAACAGCCTGGATGCTCTATATGGAACTCGCATAAAACGCGCATCCTTTTACAAGCGAATAAAAGCTCTTAGCGAACGAGCGGAAGCTCATGAAAGTGAATAACTCAATAAAATCGGAGTCCCACAATTTTTCTCAAACTTGTCTTAAATGTGAGAGTTAAAACGTCATGTACATAGTTGACATTTAAGAAAAATCCCTGGAATAGTTTGGCTAAAGGGCAGGGGCTTACAATGGCTCCCTGAAAAGGGCAAGTAGTGTGAATACCACGAGCGCAAATCCGCGTGATAGTAGGACGCCGAAACTAGATGAGAGGAATGCACACATTACGTAGAATTATTGGTTTGGAATACAAGAACAAGGTAGATGGACAGAATGCTCATCAGCCGTTTCTTTCGGACATTTTTGGAAGAAAGCGGTCGGACGCACTAGCACAGTTAACTAAAGTTAATTAGCTCCCGCGGCACCTCCGAAAAGGGCGTTTGGCGGATATGCATATCGGTAATAGATTCGGCTTCTTTTTTCCTAAAAGTATCCAGACGAAACGCACATTTAACGATGAAAAAACGTAAATGCCCAATTTTCAACTAAAATTATCAGATTTTAACCAAAATCTACAGGAATGGCATGGATTACGTCACGGTTGGCTGGTACACCAAAAGGATTTGATATGAAAATGCAAAACCTTGGATTAAAGATGGCAGCACCAACTGCTTACCTCAAAAGTCCGCAACGACCGCAACTGCGATGGCCCAATCGTTCTAACTTTGTATTTTCCGCTCGGATTTCAGCCTATTGAAAACAGGCAAACATTCCGCAAAATTAAGAATTTTTCTCTGGGCTTCTGTAGACTTGCCTATTTAGAATTCGGTTCAGTATCCTTGCATCATATGAGTTGACCTCTTACATCTGTTTCATTTTATGTAAGTAGAAGGATAGCATTCATTGACACTGTTGATGCAACAAGCTTTGTTAGGCAGAGTATCTCGCATGGTTAGCTTTTTTCGAAATATTGTATTTGAGAGTTCAAATACGGCACTGTGTCAAATAACCCAATATGATTTGACAAAGGAGCAACTGTGAGCACCATTACACGAAGTGGACGATCAGAAGGACTTAGGCGTTTACATCAATACTTTACCCCAGCGTTCGTCTGCTTAGAAGTAATCAAGTTCACAGTGCCAGTCTTGCCATTTCCAAAGCGAACCTTCGTTACAGCTGATGAGGACTTCTTTGTTAAATTCCCCGGAACGTCTGCGCGACTGAAACTGGAGTTCGATATCCAAGCTTGCGAATCCTGAAGTGCTAAAGACCGCAGTTATAGACGACTTTGTGGCGAGCTGACAGACATTCCGCGTTCTTCACGGCCAGGACTGACACTTGTGCTCAGTGACTCTTTCCAAATGACAACTATAAAAAAGCTGCGGAGGCATTCATTCAAAATATTCGGGAATGAGGCTAAGTTGGATATAAGGAATTCTTATTTCACCGACAGATTAGGACGCTACGACTGCGAAATTCGGTGTGTCGATATCTGTGGACAGCAGTAAGATAAAGCTCAACCAGCACATAACCGCGTCCCATGAAATCTCGAAGGTCGTTAGTGATGATGACCATTGCGTGTTTCACGGAGAAAACACAACAGCGGTGATTTGTGGGTGAATTAGTTTATAGCGAACTACACTTCTGCCGCATCGAACTGCATCTCTACCACCACACCCATCTTGTAGGGTCTTAGCCAGACCGTCAGATCTGGGCGTCAGCGAGATGACTGGCGTTTCGTCTACGGGTGTCACACACGACTTGGTTCGACTGCAGACGACGTAAGTCACAATGGTGGGACTGCTCAGATCACACATGCAGACGGCATTACGAATGAACCTTTGGAGCCAAACATTTAGTCCTGAGAAAAAACGAGTTATCTCGTCAGTTGGCAACCTTTGAAGCCACGACACAGTGCCTCATGAAAGATTCAAGTGCGGCCAATTTTTTTATGCTGAGGAGGATGCTGCTGTGTCATGGAGCCGATTCCCGAGCGCAGGTCTCAACTTCCATTCCCCCCTCCGTGCACCAGCCGGTTGGTTATGCGGTTGGATGCAGTAACTGTTAATTTTTAATTTCCCGTAGTATGCCACTCAGAATATGTGTGCCATATCATGTACCGTTTCCACGCTTCCCACGTGTATGAGGACCACATAGATTGGTATATCTCAAGGGTGAAAGATAGTGCTTTTGAAAACCCTATTAAAATTGGTACATGCAATAGCGTCTCCTACACAAGTTGAGAATTATGGGCATCGGTGGCAAACTTCTCAAATGGATCGAAAATTTCCTTGTCGGCCGCTCCCAAATTGTCTGCGTAGAACAACAGCAATCAAGGTGCACATTCATAGAGAGTGGGGTCCCACAAGGCTCGGTGCTCGGACCAACTCTCTTTCTCTTGTTCATCAATGATTGCGTAGATGGGTTGGACTGTGATTGTGCCATGTTTGCGGATGACATAAAAATCTGGAAAGTCATCCAGAATGCTGCCGATGAGACCAAATTCCAAGAAAACCTTTGTCGGTTGGACGAGCGGTCCCGCAGATGGCTGTTGTCCTTCAATTTGAACAAATGCACCATTATGCGCCTCGGAAATCAGAGCCCTAGTACGCGGCAATACCATCTGAACGGAATGCCACTCCGAGAAGCAGAAACTCAGAAAGATCTCGGAGTTTGGGTTGCAGACAGCCTAAAGCCTTCTACACAATGCTGTAAGGCGGCCAAGGCCGCAACGTCAATGCTATATGCCATCAAGCGGTCATTCGTAGTTTTCGATGAAGACTGCTTCACCAAAGTCTTCGGCACGTTTATAAGGCCCCATCTCGAATATGCAATTCAGGCCTGGAGACCGTGGACGCACCAGGATTACAATCTGCTCGAAAGGGTGCAGAGGCGAGCCACAAAATTAGTAAGAGGTCAAAGTGCACTGCCATACGAGATCCGCCTAACTAACCTTAATCTCTATCCTCTGAGTTATAGGCAGTTGCGCGGAGACATGATACAAACTTTCCGTATCGTGCGCGGCTTGGATTGTGCCCTTCGGCGCGATGACTTTTTCCAACTCGCCACCACAACTCACCTCCGGGGACATCCCTTCAAGCTACGTGTGCCACAGGGTAGACTGAATGTGAGAAAATATTTCTTCTCCAACCGTGTCGTGGAACCGTGGAATAACCTGCCCGAGACGGTTGTTATGTCTCAATCTGTGGAGACATTTAAATGTCGCCTTGACAGATATATGCTGCAGCAACAAGCGGACTATGCGACCTTTTAACCATGTGACTAGTGACATATGTGAATCAATGTATGCATTCACTTAATGCTGTAATTTCTTCACATTTTTGCTTGTTTATCGATTTTTTATGTACAAATAGGGAGTTCAAAGGCGTAAGCCTATTTCCCTCAAATACACTGACTGACTGACTGTCTGAGCTAAGACCAAATGAACATGCTGCTAAAATTTTGTCAATAACATATATATTTTGCAGAATATTGTCCCTAAGAATGCGGAACTGAAACTAACGAACGCTCAGTTGTAGTTAGTAATAGTAAAATGAGATAACAGTCATTCTGATTAATGTTAGGTTGTGCACGAGCCAGGCGTTGGCGGCACGCCTAGGTGCGGCTTCGGCCGTGCCAGCCTCCAAATCTCTGTTGTGTTGGTTGAAATCCTGGTTATTGTTGTGTGGACCAGGGGGTGTGGTGGAACGCTAAGGTGAGGATCCGTCCGAGCCATCCACCTGCGGCCTCCCTCGTCTCCGGTCTTCTTGACTCTGTCTTGACACCGGGCTCGGGCGAGGGAGGTGGAGAGAGTGTAGGTAGATGCAGCGCAAGTCTACTGGCACTATAAACCCCTGCGCAAGTCACCGTCCCTGCTCCAACCTGCTGTGGGGCACACGGTGGACATCATCGAAATCGATGGTCGAACTGTCAGGTTGTGCAAAGCGTTGATTTTGTATAACAGTGCTGTTCTGTCCATTTAAACGATGTTTTTAAGCCAACATACATCTAATCTTTGTTTAAACGTCTCCGTGGAATCCGCCAATATCACACCGTTGGGAAACCCATCCCAAGCACCGACGACCCGCTGCGAAAAGTAGTATCTGCGAACGTCCACGTGGCATCGGGATCCTCGAAGTTTAGGAGAGTTCCCACGCAGAATTGTCATTGTGGCCAAGGCGAAGAAAGCATCGAGTTGCAGGGCACAGTCCGGTTTCTCACAATCCGGTAGTCTAATAATAATAATAATAGTAATAATAATAATATGTTATGCCAGTTTGCAGGCACTGTCAAAGAAAAATAAAGCACGGGTCAGGCTAACGATAAAAAAACTGCGTATTATTAAATACGGAGAATGGTGCTTTTGTAGTTTGGATGGTTCAGGAGAAAACACCCGCTGCCAGTGACATGACGTCAGTCCAGAAAGGGATGGATAACGCTGCATCGGGTATTTTCAGTCTCAATTCTTTCACGTGAAATTGGTACTGGACCAAACGGAGGCACTAGAAAACCGTTGTTCGCTGGCAACTGAGGAAATTGTCCGTGGGGGAAGGCCGTGCAAAGTTTGAAACACAGCTCGATAGATTGAGGTGGACAAAAAAGGGCGATAAAAAGGAGTCGAGACGTCACTAAATATGGTACCAGAGCCGATGGTCAGGGGAATGTCTTTGAGCTGGAAACCACTAAAGGACTCATCGCCAGGACAACCGACACGTTGTTGCTCAGCCGCCATGGCGCCAAGGTCGAAACCATGTGAGAATTTGAGGGAAGATAGTGAGTCTGGACGGCTTATCAGCTACCTCATTCTTTGTGCCATCATTGTGGCGGCTGCCGATGATGAACTGGAAGATGTAGTCCAGATGGGCGACCTCTTTCGGATTGTACTTGTCGGAGCGAAAACGAGAAGCAAAAGTCAGCGGCTTGGGGTGCGTGAAAACGATTATGTCCAGACCTTCAAGAAAGTGCCGAAAATGCAAATTGCAAGTCGTCCACGGCCAAACGTACTGCAGCGGGTCTCAGCCGACGAAAGATTTTTGGAAAAAAAGACCGCTGGTCGAGTCGAACCAGCAAGGTATTGTTGAGGACTGCACCTACGGCTACGCTCGAAGCATCTACCATCAGGGACAGCTGAGCTTCGGGTGCGGGATGCGTGAGCAAGGTGACGTCGGCAAGAGAATTCTCGATTCTCTCAAAAGCAGTCAGTCCTTCACCAGTAAGCTCGAGAGGGCCTTTAGGACCAGAAAGCATGCTGGTGAGCGGCAGCATAAGGTCGTCCCAGTTCAGCAGGAACCCGTGACAAAAGTTGACTATGCCGAGGAATCGCTGCAACTGGCGCTTGGAGGTTGGTGGAGGAAAATCACGAATTGCTTCAACCTTGGAGGACAGGGGACACAAGCCTTCAGAGTCGACATGATGGCCGAGGAACTTGAGCGAAGGCATACCCAACACGCACTTGGAGGGGTTGACGACAACGCCAAACTTGTCAAGGCGGTCGAACACGAGAGCAAGGTGCGCTTTGTGTTCTTCCGCATTCCGGCTGGCCACTAAGAGGTTATCGATGTAGGCGTACACAAACGGCAGGCTACGTAAGACATGGCCAATTAACCTCTGGAACGTTGGGGTGACATTACGAAAACCGAAGGACATGCGAATGAATCTGGAGAGGCCGAAAGTTGTAGCAACGGCGGTTTGGGGGATATCCCTAGGAGCCACAGGAACCTGATGAAAGGCATGCACCAGATCAATCTTCGAGAATACAGTTTTGCCAAAAAGGGCTCCGACGAAATCCTGAAGATGTGGCACAGGGTAAAAATTAGGAATGGTGGTATTATTGAGGGCACGATAATCGTCGCAGAGTCTCCAGTCGCCCGATGTTGCCTTGGGCACCATGTGCAGGGGGACGTCCAGGAGTTCTCGGGCGGTCGACTGATTTCCAGTTACAGCATATGTCCAAACTCCGCTCTTGCGGCCTGAAAACGGGCCGGTGTTAGTCGTCTAGACCCAGTGAACACAGGAAGACCTGGGATGCGGATGCGATGTCGCACATCGTGTCTGACCTCGCCACTGCGGAACTGCAGGTTAGTGATTTTCGGATGTTGGAACAGTAGCGCCTGATAGGGACAAGCAATACCTGCATCCAAGACAGATAAATTGCAGGAGGTAATGAAGGGAGTTAAATCATGGAGAGAGATCAGTTATACGGTCGAGGAGTCGGGATCGTCGGATTTCAATAAGGAGATTGAATTCGGCTAAAAAGTCCGAGCCGAGGGCTGCATGATGAACATCAGCAATCACATAAACCCAGGAGAAAGACCGACGAAAGCCAATGTTCAGAGTGAGGTACAGACTGCCAAGAGTAGGAATGGGGGAACAGTCGGCAGCTTGGAGGTGAAGACCAGGGCTGGGGAAAAGACGATCGGCTGGAGTTGGGAGGAGACACTGGTTTGGGCTCCAGAGTCCACAAGGAAACGTCTGCGAGTCACACTGTCGCAAAAATAGAGGGTGCGGCCAGAGCCGGAAGGGCCAGAAAAAACGTTCACGTCTATTCTTTGGCTGACTGGTTTCCCTGCTTGGACTTGAACGAGCAGAGGGAGGAACATCGACGAACCTTTGGACCGAATTTGGCATGATATCAACAAATATCGGCAGTTTGAAGTTGCGAACGGGAACGACGCCGGCCAGATGAGTGACTAGAGGTAAGCCGTGAAAGCTGGAGTTTTAGGGACGTCGCCTATTCTGCCATGGCCGCCATCTGCGTCGCAATCTGCTCACTTGGTGTCAATAACGAGGAACTGGACAGCTGGGTGACAGAGGTTGGTTGAAACCGCTGTACCTCCAACATCCTGTCCGTCATCGCCACTGGCCGTGAGAACGAGAGATCTTTTGAGCCGGATGCCAGAATGGTTTGAACATCGGCTGGCAGACGCTCCAGGAACATTTCCTTGAAAAGCTTATCATCGATGTGTTGCTCACCACGATGTCCTTGCATCCTTCTAAGAAGTTCACTGGCCACCCAAACACGCCTCGTGAATTATCTGGTGATACCGCTGGCTATCAGACACGGCATGAATTCGAAGGCGTGCCGCCTTAAGCTGCGTGTATTGTTGGTCGGCTGGGGGAAATCTGGATCAATGATTTTACCTCAAAAAGAACCTGTAACGGCAAAGCCTGAGCCAGCCTGTGGGATCTGGTAACTTCTCTGGTAATGTTCGCAGAGTAAAAACTTGACTCAGTGCGAAGTAAGTATAAGTCAGGTGCATTCGTCTGGACGTCTGGTTGAGACAGTGTTACCGCGCTTATAGGATCGCCTACACTAGCAGGAACGTCCGTCATAATTGTGGTTGTGGCGAGATTTGAGTGGAGGTGCACGCGAGGAAAGAACCAATACGACACTGCAGAATGGTTGGCTGGCTATTGTCGACGACTGAAAACGCGTGAAAAGGCGACGCGCGTTCTCGTTCAGGGATCATCACTTTAGCAGGCCAAGTCAATCGATAACGTGATCCCACGCTAAGACTGGAAGCGAGACTTCAACGTCAGTTATGGCAGCTGTTGTCCATGTCTCAGTTACTAAAACAATATCTGGGCAATAGACGAACACCAGAGTCTGAAGCAAAGACACCTTATTTAGCAAGGATCTGGCATTTAGGCCAAAGAAGTTTAAGGGGAAAGACTGGTTGTTTCTGAAGGAGGTGAGCTACGTCGTCCAGTGGTTGGCTGCCCACGGAACATATGGTCCGGATGCACCTGTCCACTTTTGCAAAGATTCTGTGACATCAAAAGACCCTGATAGGGAATAAAGAGGAGTAGTATTTGAGGGAGGGAATGACGGTAAGCGAAACTGTCGTTGGTTGGCTGATTTTCTACTGGAAATCCATGGGCAAGATCCTGTAACGTGTTCCCGTCGAAATGAAACTGAGGATCAAGTGAGTTAACCGACCCCGTATTGACATCTGCTTGAGAATTCCATTGACTTACGTGGTGGGAAGCCTAAACTCGATTGGGGGATAAATGACTGGGGGCGATTCACGTGTAAACTATCTACAGGATAGATGGTATGGCCTTGGTAGGTAGCCGGTATGCGGGATAGAGAATTATTTGGGGGCATTATCAGAGATACGGGGTTTATAGAAAAACTCTGCTATGAAGGCTTAGTAGATCTAAGATGAGGCTGTATGCCACTGAATGGAGTTACGTTACCTTTCTTTTGGGTCAAAATCGGATGCCGCTTTTGCATCTTATAGTTCTGACGCCATGCCACAGGTGACTTAAATGGAGAACTCTGGGAGCCTGTTGAAGTGGGGAGGAGGCTACCGGTGCAGTTCATGTAGACGGATTTTCGTGCGTCCTAGTGAGGCTACCTGGAGGATTAGGGAGGACAACTGAGGCTGCTGCTAGTTTGGAGGCAGAAGAAGACGTTATGTGGCTTGAGTGAGAGAGAAATGTAGGAGTAAGGGGAAGGGAGGAGTCAGGTCTCGCATGAGTAGGATTAGGTGAACCCTCAAGGTCACATGTATTATGACCGAGTTGGCGAGCATTTGACTGAGACGATGAGGGTTTACGTGGGAAAAGAGACCCAATTCTACACTCCATGGGAGTAAGACCATGACAAAGCAAAAATTTTGTGCTTTCCAGTTACACAAAAACACGATCTTGGTGGGCAAAGATTGAATTAACCTCAGCTAGTGAAAACAACTTAAATAAGACGGGCGGATTCCTCCTACGGGAAGACAGACGTTTGGTGTCAGCTAGTTTGCAGCTGAATCCACAGACAATCAACCGTAGCGTCAGTCGGCCGAGCAGATCGACGAAGATTTTTCAACTAGAGGTTGTAAGCTCTTTTTTGTACATAACTAGATTCGCTGGCGATCAGGTGAAGGAGTGAGTCAAGACATTTACATTTCTCAGTACGAACATCGGAGATATTCCAGTCGAACAATTTTCCCAGAATTGAGAGCATATTGTCAGTTGGGAGCCTTCCAAGCCACGAGTTTTAACGCACCATAGTATTCCCAAGCCCGTCAGGTTGCCTTCACTGGGGAACATGCTTTGAGAGAGTCGACCTCACTCTCTCTCTTACATCTTCCCTGTACCGGTCGATTACCCGGGTCGTTCAACCAACTGATGTTGGGACTGGCTGACAAGGCTAAAAACAGCCCGTTTACGCGCGTCACACACGTGACCCGGTCCTCACGCGATACGCCGAATATAAAGGGAGGCTTTAAAGCACGAATTCCCACTTGCGCGAGGGGTGCCGGTTCCACGCTTGTGCTGGGTGATGAGAGATAGATGCGGGCGTAATATATGTGCTGGTGAGGGGATGTGTAGTAATGGGGCTTGACCATTTACCATAGCTGTTCGTGAATGCTCAAGTGACCGAGAAGACCCATTCAGTGACTGAGTATTTGCGGTAAGTTCAGGCGGATGCAGTGTGTATATGTTGGTGCTCCAGGTACTAGTTCGCCGTTCTCTGTCCGATGAACTCAAAAGTGACCGACCAGGCCTATAAGCGAGGTGCAGGTGTGATCGCAATGCCGGCAGATTGGGGTCGGGCTTACATTATTAGTAGTTTGGATCGTGGTGGCGATGCTAGTGGTCGACGAGGCGATTTAAAGTACGTAATTACGAAGACAGTCGGAAAAATGCACTCGACGATCACTACGAATATTGACAATGTCAGTGGTATTGGGTGAATTACACCCAGGAAAGGTAGGACGAGAATTTTGGATAGGAGTAGTAGGAAGGGGCGGAAAGCCAGTTTATTGGCATAATAACATTACAAGAAAAGACAATGGAGACTAGAATGTCAATTTCTGGCTTATTAGCCGTTGTCAGCCAGTCATACCCAACTCCGAAGTGTGGAACATCTGGGGCTCGATCCCACGACAGGTTGGTTAAAAATCGAACGCCCCTAACCACTGAACCATGGGCTCGTTGTCCTGCCGGTTGCGATCGGGTATATGCAATGGTCGGAGGACACTCATCGATCGTGTTACGAAACTCACTCGTCCCTTTGCGCCTTGGGGTTCTCTCATTTGAGCCCAACCAGCAGCCACACAGCGACGCCTACTATAGATAGAATAACCAATAGGTCGCGGGATCGAGCCTTAGGTGTTCCACACTTTGGGATTGGGTATGACTGGCTGGTGATGGCTAATTAGCCAGAAATGACCATTCCAGTCTCCCTTGTCGTTATCGGTAATGTTATTCTGCCTATGGTATGCGCCGCTGTGCGGCTATTGGTTGGGCTCGAGAGAGAGCTCCAAGGAATCACGGAATGAGTGAGTTCCGTGATGCGATCGGTGAGCCTCCCCCTACCAGTCAATTTATCTTTGTCCGTGGGGCTGGCTCGGTCATATCCCCGGAACAGTTGTTTTTGCCCTTGCCAAAGTTGACTCAATCCGGCTTTTAACCGTGTAGGATAAGTCAGGTCTTGGTATTGCAGGAGACCGCATGGAACGGTCTTTCTTAGGCCGAATTTAGTGGCTCAAGTGTTTGGTCGTGTTGAATGACAACGTGAGTGTAGCCAGCCAAGCCCTTTCCCCTTACATTACTCAATCGATGGATTTCACGACGCAGTACATGAAGGCAGATGCATGAACGGTCGGAGGCGGTACACACAGTTGCGAATATCTTCGTCGACATCTCAAGGGGTTGGGGTGATTCTATCGTCTGGCAGCCAGAGGACAACACTAAACACCAATTCTGCCGCGCTGCGGTGTAAATCTGACTCCATTGCTGCCCGAATGCCAAGACACGGCAGAGGAATGTGATCCATCTAGTTCACCATGGCCTCTGCGGCACGCAGGACAGTTTTGAGTTGACGGTGGAAGCGCTCGACCAAGTCTTTGGCGACTGAATGGTAGACTGTCACTGAAATGTGTGAGCAGTCAGGGAAGATGAGGACTGCTCGGAACAGTACACATTCCAACTGGGCGCTTCAGTCACTTGTAACCGTAGTTGGGGTATCGAACCTGGCAGCCCCAGTCTGGCGAAGACCTTGACGATGGCATCACCTCCACATTCGGAAAGGAATAGATAGATAGATAATTTTTATTAAAGACCCGTCGGGGTCCCATCAAATGATTTCAGTCCAGAAGGTGTATCGATTAACATAAGTGAGGATGTGGATGCAGCCATTAGATCGGGACAAGGAATCTAAAATATCCAGATCATCAGGACTTAACCGTGCATCGGACCTGGGGAAGGTACCTGACAGAGACTTGTTATTACGCCGAGCCTCGTTCCTTGTCCCGCAGACAGCTCAAGCACGACCTTGCCCAGGCATTGACGTCCTTGTTCGTGTCAAGCGAGACAAACTCTTCCGTTGGGGAGCTTCTGTGAGACATGGGTCCACGGAAGGAAGCGTTTATGAGGGGCATGAAACGGCACGACACATCGAAACGGACACGAAGGAATAATGAGAAGAATTTTAAGTGTCGCAAGGGATTGTGCAGTACCTGTGATTAGGGGAACGTTCGCAAGCTGGAGACCAATAGATGAATTGTCCCCCAGACACCCGCCTTGTCCCTGTTTAGTCACGAGGGCAGTAAGGCTGACTCACATTAGAGTTTTAAAGCGAAGAAGGGAGGTCAGCGCTGCGTGTCAGTCATCTCATCCTTTGATGTCAATCTGACGAATGCCAGCGGTGAACTGTGAAGTGTAGTCCAGATAACAAACTACATCAGACGGCGCTTATCTGAGTGAAATCGCTGATCAAACCCCAGAGGCTTGTTGTCCTTTTGAATGGCGAAGTCATGACCTTTAAAAATATGTTAGCAGGATATCATCGGCAATGGAAGCCTTCACCCCCTCAAGACAATCAATGCCTCACCAGTGAGCTCAAAGAGACCCTTCGGACCGCAAAACATGCTGCTAAGTGGTAAAATGGGGTCAGCATTTTCTGGCAGAAATCGGCACTAAAAGTTTCCTATACCAAGAAAATGTGACAAGTAACGCATGGAAAATCCCGAAGGGCTGCAACCTCGC